GTAAAATTAAATAACCCAAGAGCTGGTTGCTTAAAAAAAAAAAAAGATAAACTTTTAAGTGAATTAATTAAGAAAAAAAAGCACAAATCTACTTGATGCAATAATTTGGAAATTCTAGATAAAATAGATTTGTTTTTAAGAAGCTGTAATATACCAAAACTGATCTCAAAAGAAACTGAAAGTTTAAACAAGTCAATTACTGTAAAAGAAAGTATAAAGAGCTATCCAACACAATCAAATCACTTTTTATAAGTTGTTATGCTGAAACTTTAAGGAGCAGATAATTCCAAAATTTAAGTTATTCCAGCACATACAGAAAGAAACCTCCCAAATTCTTTATATGAAGCAAGAATAATTTTGATACTAAATCTGACAAAGATGATAGGGAAAAGAAATGTCCATTAGTTTCACTTATATATATTGATGAAATAAATACTAAATAAAATATTAAGCAAAGGAAACCTGCAGTATCTTAAAAGAATGACATGACAAAATGGGATTTATTTCAGGTATACAAAGGTGATTAAATATCAGGACATATATTTTATGAATAGATATAAAGAAGTTCAATTCTACAGACTTTGAAATAGAATTTGATAAAAATTTAAAATCTCCTTTTGAAAAATAAAATAAAATCTACTTTTGCATCAAAGATGTTTATAAAAGAATAAGAATAGAATACATTACCTTACCATAAATCTATTTTAACCCCCAAGCCAGCTTATGATCAATAGGAAAATATTAGAAGCACTCCCATTAACAAATGGTTAAAAATATGATGACTACTATTTCTACCAACATGTTCCTAGATAATGCAATTATCTTTATAATTTGGGGGAAAATTAGAAGTTAGAAAATATGGAGATAAATATGTTTGTTCCCATCACTTCTACTCAACATCATACTAGAGGTTCCAGCCAAGGCAATTAGGCAAGAAAATGAAATAAAACGAATCTAGATTTAAAAAGAAGAAGTAAAATTATTTCTATTTGCAGATGACATTTTTTAATATGTAGAAAATCCTGAAGAATACACAAATCCATTAGGGCTAATAAATGAGTTTAGCAAGTTGCAGAGATATAGATCAATATACAAAAATGACTGTATTTCTATACATTGGTAATAACATTCCAAAACTAAAGAAGATAATTCCATTTATAATAGTATTAAAAAGAAAAATATACTTAAAAACAAATGTAATGAAAGAAGTGGATGACTCATAGAAAAACAAAATACCATTGAAAAAAATGACAGAAGACTGGAATTGAAATGATATCCTTGTTTATAGAAAGGAATATCTAATATTGTTAAGACGATAGTACTCCCCCAGATTAATCTGCCAGTTCAATACAATCCCTGTCAAGATTCCAATTGCCTTTTTGCAGGAATGAAAAACCTGGTCCTCAAGTTCACAGAGAATGTCAAGAGGCCCTGAAGAGCTAAAACAATGTTGAAAATAAAGCACAATATTCCAGTTGCAAAATAAGTAAAGTACAGTGTTATAATATATAGCATAGGGGATATAGCCAATAATACTGTTACAATTTTGTATGGTGATGGACTTATTGTGGTGACTATTTTGTAGTGTATATAAATATCAAACCATTATGTTATACACCTCAAAGTAATACAATATTTACAATATTGTATGTCAATTTTTTAAAGACTATTTCAGATGTATAATAAAAAATTTAAAATTAGAACACATAATTTCCCATTTCAGTTACTTCAGAGCTAGAATATTGAAGACTTTGTGGTACTGGCATTAAAGATAGACATATAGATGAATGGAATGAACTGAGAGTCCAGAAAAAAAACCATATATTTATGGTAAAATGATTTTCAATAAGGCTGTCAAGACAATTCCTGAAGAATTCTGGGGAAGTAATGAACTAATGAACAGTTCTGGGGCACCTGGAATTTATAAACAAATTTAAAACCCAAGTACCACCTGCTGTATACAAAAATTAACTGAAAATGGATCAACGCCTAGATACAGGAGCTTAATCTTATAAGAAAACATAGATGAAAAGTCTCTATCGCCTTGCATTAGGCAGTGGTTTCTTAGATATGGCACCAAAAGCATAAGTAAGAAAAGAAAAAAATAATGGATTCCTTGGACTTCATTAAATTTAAAAATTATGTGCTTCAAAGACATTATCCAGAAAGTGAAGAGACAACCAAATGATAAAATATTTGCAAATCATATTTTTAAAAATTCTTCATGGGAGGAGTTATCATAAAGTAATAGCAATGGCTGCTTGAGGAAATTCATTTTATATTCATATCACAGAGGGTTAATTTTCCTAAAATAACAACTTAACCAGACAATTCACTGAAAAAGTAATACAAATGACTCAAACATATTTTTAAAAAATTAACTTCACTCACAATAGGATGAAAGTTAATGTCCTGCTAAGAGGTAAGTTTTGAGCTGTTTGATTAGCAGAGAAAATATGTTGGATAATGATGTATTATGTGGCTGAGACTATGGGGGACCAGGAACTCTAATTTCCATGAGAAAATGAATTGCCTCCATGAAAAGAGACTTTAGCAATTAACTTTAAAAGTTATACATTCACATACCTTTTGACACGACAAGCCTGTTTCTAGGAATTTGTCCTACAGATATATTCAAGTATGTATGAACTAACACTTGTACAAAGTTATTTGTTAAGACCTTCTTTGTAATTTAAAAAGAAAAGTACCTTTGTGTCCATTCAAGAATTCTCTGCGGCTGTAAAAGAAAATGAGGCTGCTTTTTGTGTACTGATATGGAAGGTTGTCCTAGACATACTATTGCATGTAACAAGGTGCAGAAGAGTGTATAGCCGAACTTACTCGGATGAAAAGATCAGAGGTGTGTGTATGTGTGGGTTTTCTTATATATTGTAAAATATCTCTGGAAGGATACATAACAGACAAATCAGTATTGGCTAGGGGATATGGTTAGAACTTTTACTGTTTATCCTTTGATCTTTTTCAATTTTTTTTTCATTTTTTTTATTTTTCAAGTAACTGCCTCACCCAACATTGGGCTCAAACTCCCAACCCCAAGATCAAGACTTACATGCTCTACCAATTGACCAGCTAGGCACCCCAGCCATTTTCAACTTTGAATCATGAAGATCATATCTATTTTGAAAATAATAAACTAAAAATACAAGAAGATTTCTGTAAAAGAAGTAATTAATCTTAACTTCACCTTTATGAACTGTGTGGGAACAAAATAACTTCTTTGCTTTCTCCCTTGAAATGGCCAAACTTTTTTGACCACTCTTTGAGCAGTATTGCTCTAGAACTTCAAACATTAAAATCCCAAAGAGTCTACCACAGTTGGACTCAATATCTTTATTTCTATCACCTTAGGACTAAATATTATATTCTCTACCAGAAATTAAATGGGATCTTATTTAGAGAAATTTAGTTCTTAGTTAAACTCAATAAATATTTGTTGAAGATTTATTATGTAGCATAATTTGTTATGGAGAGAAGAATGTACCATGGTTACCATTCTCATGAAGCCCACAACCATGCTAAAATACCAAACTATAATTAACCATATAAAATACATTTCAAAGACCCCAGCAACACCCTGGCAACCAGTTCAAATAGGCTTATTATAACACCTCTGTACCTAAGTTTATATCTGAAAAGATTTACATAAAATTGTTATTAGCAGTTACCCCTGGTGGGTGGGATTGATTGGAAGGAGATGGAGGACTTGTACTTCTTTAAATACTTAAAAAATGAAGATGCTGGAATCATGAGTGGTTTTATTTAGTTTTAGGGTTTTTGTTTTTCAAATAAAACACAAGAACAAATCAAGAGTTTTAAACAACTCTTGATTTCTTCACGTAACCAAAACAAATTCTCCTATTTCTCTCTTTCCCAACTCCCTCACTTAACAGTTAGTATGAAAACCTGGCACCTTGTGATTTCTTTGAACCTTGTTAAATTAAGAAGAATGTACAGTATACCAAGGATAAGATCATCACCCAAAATGTGAAACCTAGAAACTGAATTTATTGCTTACTTAGGTAAGGGAAAGGTATGCTCATCAGACATAGTCTCACTGAACAGAGCAAATAGAGGTTTTATAGGAGTATTATTTGGGGACATACTGGTTACTGAAGCAGGAGTAGTTGAAAATCAGCCTTAGAAACATGGGTTATAAAAACATGTTTCCTATTCCTGAGGTGTGTTTACTGGAGTAAGTTGTCACTGATCAATTAAATAGGCTTAAAACCAGCTTTGGTCTTTGTTACCATAAGCTATAAAAGTATCAGTCCTTTCCTAGGTTCCTGAGGATTTTTTTTTTTTAATTCTTAAAAAATAAATTACGTCTCTTTTTGCTTTGAAAACTACAGGTGTCTTGCACTGAAAGGAAAAAATTTCCTTAGATTAATCATAATTTATTATTAAAAGGTCTTAATAGAGCTTATTAATTTTCTATTGCCACTGTAAAAGATTACTTCAAATTTAGTGGTATAAACACAGATTTATTGTTTTATAGTTCAGTAGTTTAGAAGACTGCCACAGGCCTCACTAGGCTAAAATTAAGGTGTTAGAAGGGCTGCATTCCTTCTGGAGGCTCTGGAGAAGAATCTGTTTCTTCTTCCATCTTCTGGGGGTTGCCCACATTCCTGGCCTCACAGCCTTCTTCCTCCTCTCTCCTCCTCCTTCGAAGCCTGCAACACAGCATTCATCTGACCTGGCTTCTGTTGCCACATCTTTCTCTGATCCTTCTCTCTTCCTCCCTCTTTCCCTTATAAGGACTTTTATGATCACATTGGGTCTAGCTGGATAATCCAGACACTCCACAGGTCTGGCGATAGGAGGTCCAAGACTGGTCTGGTGCCTCCACGACACCATCAACCGACCCCTCCTGTCTTGCCATGTACTTACTTTGCAATGACTGTAAGCCTCAAACATCATGCATGTGGTCCGGGCAAGAAAAATGAAGTAGAAGAGGCATTACCAGAAAAGTGCAGTTTCTGTTTCATTTGCCAGAACAGAGACTTGGGGGCCAGCTCCACCTGCAAGGCAATCTGAGAAGGTACATGAGCTCTGCTGCATCTCTAGAAAGGAAAGGAGAATGGAAATCAGTGTCAGAATGAGGGATAGCTGCACTAACCTCCAGCATGACTGCAACAGCTAAGTGAACTTAGCGAAGTGAACCTAGCGAAGAATTTCATCCAGTGCCTGAAGAGCAAGTACTGCTAGCAGGTGCTAGAATGTCAGTGGACTACTTGCTACACGGGTTGTAGGATACCTGGTGACAGGTTAGGTGTGGCTTCCACTCTCCTCCACTCCGCAGGGCTCAGGCACAAGAGATGAGGTTGAACCCAGGGCAGACAGCTTCCCATTGGGGCAGCCCCCCCTTTCTATTCCCTACCTGTGTGTAATCCCACGTTTGTATAGTCTCTTCAGGAGTAGATGCCAAGTCACATGCCTCCCGGTGCAGCTGCAGCTCATTAGTCAAAGATTTCACAATGCGTGCTTCTGTAAACCAGGTGCAACATGAGCTCCTAACATTCCACATTTATCTTGCTTTGCTACATTCTGGAGAGCCGAATGGCAAGAAGGCAAATCTGAGGTCATATCCCCAGGCGTCCCTGGGTCTGATGTATGAGTTCATGCCAGCTGAAAACTCTTTTCTTGCAGGAACCGGGTACCTCAAAAATAGTGTCCCTTTCTCCCTCTTGGATTTGGTATCTGTTGAAGGAGATACAGAATCAGACAAATGAAGGTCAAACTATCACCTTAATAAAGCTGACTAGACAACATGGTGAAGTGGGTGCTGTCATACTTTTCCCAGACTTAATCCAATAGTTACTGGTACAGTTGAATAACACAGGGCTTCCCAGAAGAATACAGGCCCATGAGAGGAAAGCTGACACACTCTCTGCAAAACACAGGTCTAGAAAGTGTGGGGGAAGGGCTGAGCTGTTTATTCTCCCAACTCACACGTGGTTCTCCTCCAAGGCTCTCCTATCCCCCTGGGGGGTAGTAAATGAAGGGTAGAGAGAGACTCGGTGATTCTCAGCTTTCCAGGAAATTTGAGGTTACCCAGAGAACAAATGAGCAGCCAGGTTAGAGAACCATTCTGGTCTCACTTAAATTACTGCATATGGGAACACAAGGAGTGGAGGTGACTGTTCTTCCCTATAGCTAGGAAAGTTCATTTTGTGTTTGTGTGTGTGTGTTTTTCTTTTTAATTAAACTTTATTTGGAGATAATGATAGATACACAGTTGTAAAAAATAATATAAAGATCTCTCCAGTGGTAACATTTTGCAAAACTATAGTACAGATTATTTCCAGCAAAACTATAGTACAGATTATTTCCAGCAACGCAAGGATCCTTCAGGTTTCCCTTTTATACCTACTCTCCTTTCTTGCCCTCCACACTCCAGAAAGGTTCATTTTGATGTGCTCTGCTCTTTTTGTAAATGACAGATTTCCTCTGATATATTTTCCTTCCTTTTAATGCAAAGCAAATAAAGATACCTGCTTTCGGGGCACCTGGGTTGCTCAGTGGGTTAAAGCCTCTGCCTTTGGCTCAGGTCATGATCTCAGGGTCCTGGGATGGAGCCCCGGCATCAGGCTCTCTGCTCAGCAGGGAAACTGCTTCCCCCCTCTCTCTGCCTGCCTCTCTGCCTACTTGTGATTTCTATCAAATAAATAAATAAAATCTTTTTAAAAAAAAGATACCTGCTTTCAATTTCTTTGTATCAGTAGGACTATCTTTAGGCAACAAAAAAACCTATTGCCTCTAGGCTTGTGTTAATGCTCTTTTTGTTTGAGAGAATTACTGGGAGTCATAAAACGGTACTTTGGAGAAAGGTATAGGTAGAAAAACAAGTTTTCATAAAATGTTCTTCAGACATTCTTCACTTAGTTTGTAAATACCATGATCAATATAGTTTTCATTTTTCCTGTGCTCAACACAAAGCTGTAAAATCTTTGGAGCAGATTTTATTTTTTAGATGGCTATGGCAATGAATTGTCTCCCTCCTACTTAGGTTTTCAAGAACCAAATAATTAGTATGCTTCTGACTGTCTCAGAGTGAAAACACAGCTGGAACTGTATTTGTTCTTTTGTGACTCTTCATGACATACTGCAACTTCTCAGGACATATCTCTCACCTGGTTTACATTGTAAAATTTCTGGCATCATCTGAGAAGACTCCCAGAAATTCCCTCACCTCACCTGTTTTAGCACCGTGTCCCTCCAGTTCTCCCCGTTTTGAAGGCTCCTTCTGGCCTCACTGTTATCCCTAACTTAGAGGCCCCACCATCCGTCATTATCTGCAGCCTTCTCAACTCTCTCATGTTCTCACTCTCCTATTCCACCTGTACTGTAACCCCCAACCAACAGTCGGCCTTCTCCATTCCTATTAGGAAGCAACTTGGCAAAGAACATACCATATGGGGTTTTACATGGGACAGATTCCACCATGGGACAATAAGTCCATGACCTCTAAACTCAGGTGAACCTCCAGTAGAGCTTGGGCAATCTTTTTATTTGTTCTGGGCCATCTGCTTCTCTAAAATTCCCTCAACAGATTTTACAAACACTTACAATTTTCTTCAGACTGCCCATCTAACCTCCCACTCAAGCTCAACAGCTTGTCTTAAACATAGCAAGAGAATGTCAAGAAGACAGAGGTGCCAGGTTTACAGAACCTTGGAAGGTTTTATTGAATTCGTGATTCATGTCAGTGTTGTGCTATTTCAAACCCAGCACATGAGAATAAACTTTTGAAAAAAAATATATAATCAAAACCATCCCAAATTTACCCTGATTACAACAGTGCTAAGAGTCTTACCATTACCTACATCCTGTAAGTGTTTGTAATACTCGGTGTCATTCGGTGTTTCCTTTTGCATATATGCACCAGTGTAATGTGCAGAGTTAGACTTGGCAGATTGATGGAGTGAGGTTGTATTCTGCTCTGCTGTCAAAATTCTTCCTCCTAAGTTGACAACTGTGGACTTGAAGGTCATATCTAGTAGCTTTACTTCTTACTGTGGGCTTCTGGTATGCTGTGAAGTTAGTACTATTCAGTCTTTGAACAACTGTCAGATCAGAATGCTTCTGGTTTGTCCTGGTGCTAGAGATGCTATTTGAAATTTTTTGTGTCTTCTTCCCAGTAATCATCAGAACATCAAGATTACATGTGGCTACAGTTAATTAACGTGGTAAAGGATGCATATTATATCTTTTTTTGTTGAAGTATAATTAATATACAAAGTTGTATTAGTTTCAGGTGTACAATATAATAACTCAATCCTATACATTTCTCAGCATTCATCAAGATAAGTATACTCATAATCCCCTTTGTCTATTTCACCTGTGAATTATGTCTTAGTTATAAGTCTGTAAAGCATTCTCAAAATGACAAAAATACAAGCATATCGGTATAAAACAACACCAGCCATAAATTTATGGAATCCCAGTGAATAAAAAGTAGCACTATGAGATTAAGGGAACTTGACTAAGTGGCACAGATAGTTTCAGAGTATCTAGAACCAAACCTTGGAACTTTTTCATTGATTTCTAGATAAAGAAGCTCTTTTCTATACTTTTTCCTTTTGCTCTCTCTCCTCTCACTTTGCCCTTCCTTTTCCTTCTCTTCCTTTTCCTTCCTTTCTTCCTTTCTTCTTCTCTGCCTTTTCTCCATAAGTAATCTAGGACTAGCATTAAATTTGTTAGGCATGGCATTTTCTCAGTACCTATGTCAAATTTTCTTTCTATTTAACATTTCATTTTATTTTTCAATTCCCCCCATACTACTGAAGCTTTTCAATGTTTAGATATTTTCTCCTTGGTGAAAGAAGAGTTTTTCTTGTGATCCCTGATCAGTTTTATTTATTTTTTTTCCGATCAGTTTTATACCTTAGAAGAGCAGTAGCACTGCTGTCTGGTTTCTGGCAGTCTCTGTGACTAGATGGGCTTGAAGTACAGAGATGGTCTCATTAGCCTTAGAATGAGGCTCTGGAGACTCCAAGAGGTGAAGAAGTTCTGGGGGCTTAGTCTCAATGCCAGTCATTTCCCTGGCAAAAAACAAGGTTTGTGGCTCGAATAAAAGGAAACACCTACTCACCTGACCCCTCGCTTTGCTCCTGAGGCAGGACACATCCCAACAGGGAAATGTGAGATGTTCCTGACCTTGTAGGTATAAGAACAGCATGCTGCTGCCTGGGGCGCTTGATGGCGCATCACATCACGACATTGTTGAGCCTGAAATGCTTCTGTTCACAGCACATTTACGGGTAAAAGTGTGAGGGCAGCAGAAGTAGCTGCAGTAGAAACAAGAGTGACTGTGCTAACAACACACTGTGGAACGTGACTCAGAACGTGGTCTCATGACAGGACTTTAGGGGGGATTTAGGTCTGAAACCTTGAGCATTCCAGGGAGAGGTTGGTCTTAGCTGAACAATTTGTCCAGGGGGACAGAATGTGGCAAGATTCTGGGAGTCTTGGCACAGTTACCATGAAGTATCTGAAGGAGGTATTGACAGATAGGAGTTGATTATGGGGCTCAGTGCAGCTCTGGCTTTTACCAATCTCTGCATAAACTAATAATGAGGGTGAGCCATCTGCTGTTCTTCATGTTAAACCAAAATGATGACTAATGGCTTGGTGGACATATTGGTGGCTTCTTCTAGGAAGAGAGGAAGCCCTCTGGTGTGATCATCTCCATCATGCCTTTGCACTAGAGGTTGTACCAAATGGATAAAACTCTTTGTAGAGATAAGGTTTCCTTTAGAATAGATTTTTTAAAAATTTCCCCTCCCAGCTAAAGTTATCAGAAGTAATTGATCTCCTTGAACTGAACCAACTCATCTCTCTATTGAGAAACCTGGGGGGCCTTTCATACTCTTAAGCCAGGAGTCGGTTATAATGGTGTGCAGTTGAAGAAAGAGAACGAATCTGGAGATTTAGATTTGGTGGTTAGCAGCGTAGAGATGGTAGCTAAAGCCTCTGGAATAGAAAAAATACAGGGAGAGTGTTTAGAATAATAAGAAAAAAGAGGTAAGTATTGAATTGTGGAGAATGCCAATACTTATGGGGAGGTAAAGGAGGAAGACTGGCAATGGAAGCTGAGAAATAGTCACGAAAGGGTTAGAACAAAAGCCAGGGAGGAATGGTGTCCCAGCAGCCCAGGGAAAAGAGATTCATGGAAAACAAATGCTGCAGACATTAAGTATGGGGGGGAAATGTTTTGGAATTTTAAACTGAGAACTCCTTGCAACGTTCCAGTGACCTGGGGACCGTGGCTCCCCTGGAAAGTTTGGGGAGCAGGTCAAATCACTGTGGGCTGAAGAAATGGGAGGTGGAGAATTGGAAGCATGTGTGGACTTCTCTTTCGGGAATTCAACCATGAAGACACAGTGGGTAACTAGAGCTGAACTAGGATGAACATTTCGGAACGGTTTTGTTTTTTCTTTTTCCCCCAAGAAGGTATAGAAGTGAAGCTTCAGAGTATAGTTTCAGAGTGTCTAAAACCAAGATAGGGGAAAACCTAGTAAGTAGAAAGTAGTTGAAGTTGAAAGATCAAAAGAGCAATGAGAGACGGAGAAGGTAATAAAGAATACAAGGGAAGGGTGGTCGCCAGACTCCAAGATGTTCCCCTATGAGCCCTGCTTCCCAGTATTCACACACCGGTGTCATTTCCTCCCAGGTTGTACCAGGGGTGGTCTTCATGACTGACTGAACACAACAAAAGTGATGTTGTATCACTTCTGAGATGAGGTCATAAAATACACTGTAGCTTTCATCTTGGTGCCCTCTCTCTCTCTCTCTGTCTCTCTCATCATTTGCTCTGGGGGAGGCCAGGTGTCACTTCCATAAGCAGTATTATGGAGAGACACATTTGGTGAGGGACTGAGGCTTCTTGCCAACAACCAAGTGCGGAGCTGGGAAGGGGATCCTCCAGGTCAGGTAAGCCTTCATAGGACTGCTGCCCTGGCTGACATCTTGGCTGTAACCTCATGAGAAATTCTGAGGCAGAAACAATCAGCTAAGCTTCTCCCAGATTCCTCACCATTTGAAATGGTGTGAGATAATAAATATTTATTGTTTTAAGATGTTAAGTCTCAAGTAATTTGCTATGCAGTGTCAGGGAGGAAAAAGTGTTCCTCAACACTGTGAAGGTCCCTGGCTGGGTCTGAAAATTAAACTGACAAAGACAGATTAGTAGGAGAAAAACATACAAATTGAGTACGTTTTATGTGACACGGGAGCCTTCATAAGGAAATGAAGACCCAAAGGAACAGACCCAAGTACTTTTATGCTAGGCTTGAAGAGTACATTGTTGTGGAGGAATATGATAGATTAAGGAGTATGAGGTATTGTAGCAACACACTTAGCAAGGCCTGTTTAAGTGGATTCTTCTTGGTGTCCTTTTATCCTGGAGATAACGATGCTCTTTCCACCACATATAGGGAGGGACCTCTCACATGAGGGTTTTGTGACCTGATTCAAGGCAGAAGTGTAGAAGAAAGGTCAGAGTGATCTTTCTGCTTCTGTTTGTTTTCTCAAATTCCTTCAGTTAAAATTTTCAATATTCATATTTTGGAATAGCATGTTCTGAACCCTACCAGCATAAATAGATAAATAATACAGTAGGGAGTAGCTTTGGGCAGAAGGATGTTCTCCTCCTAAGAATTTATCAAGTCCAGTCATTTTTACAAGTTCTTGTTCATTAAGCTTATTCTTTATTGCTTATGTTTGGTATCTTGAAATATTTCAAATTCTAACTTACAACTAGACTTTAATCATTTTTATTGCTGAAAAAAAAAGCCCAAAACAAAAAAAAACCTGCATCAGAATCTCCTACTTTTTGTAACATCCCACTCAAAGTTGTCTATAATACTTCTTAGCTGATATCCATTTAATGACTCATTTGATAAATATTTATTATGTGACATTGCTATAAACTTTAGAGAAGGCAGTGTTGCTTTTAGAGTGAGTAGTAGAGTGACAGGTGAGCTATTTGCTACTATATCCAAATTACCCACCCATACTGAACAAAGGAGTATGGGTATTAAGCATAGAAGCATGAAGAAATGTCCAAATAGTGTATACGAGAAGTCAGTGATCCAGGAAGAAAAAAATGACACCTACAAAGAACCCATGCATGCATGAAGAACAATCTGAGAATATATCAAATCAAAGTCATGTTCAAAGCAAAAATCAAGTTTGCATGACGAACAGTGGAGTATCAGTTAAGACAAATGATACCCTTGATCATAGAACAATGAGAAATTCTTCCACCAAGTGGATGTAGCTGACAAATGCGTTCATATAAAAGAAGTATAAAGGGAAAACTAATTTGGGGGATAAAACCAGGTGGAACTGAAGCTGATTCTTGAAGTTCTGCCTCAGGTCATCCAAGAGAGTTGTGTCCCCGTTCTGCCCATTTATGACAAGTATAAGATGCATGCATAAAAAATTATTCTGTTGGTAGATGTGACTTATTGCATAATGAACTAGTAAATTTGCAGTCATTTCCATTATTTATCTCAGAATTTTACTTTTATATTCATTTAGGAAGGACTTTTCTGCAAACCATTGTTCAAAGTTTAAAATGCCAAATATACCTCAAAGAAATGAAAGACAGTGGCTTATTTCTTAACGAGTTTTTTGTTTTGTTTTGTTTTTGTTTTTTTATCACTATCTCTTCTCCTTTGTTGTATTTTGGGTTTCACTAGGTTGGAACAGGCTGGACCACAGTGAGAGCCTAGAGCTTGACTAGGTCATGGCCCCGGCCAAAGGTGGCAAGAGTAATCAGGCCCTGCTGTCAGACCAGAGAAGTGTCTAATGAGGTGGATATGGGTTTCATGGTTTCCCATTAATACTTTGTGGGAAAAATCAAGTACTTGGAAGTGGAAGACCTTGATTTAAATTCTGATTTTACTATTTAGTAGCTGTGTGTTACTGAGCAAGAGACACCTCTCTGAGTCTCAATGTCTCCTCCACAAAGTAGAGCTAAAACAAACAAACAAACAAACAAAAAAAAACCCTGCCATTATTACAGTCAATTTTTCTTCTTAAAAGTCAAATAAACTTTTTTTTTTTAAGATTTTATTTTTGTTTATTTGACAGAGAAAGATATAGTGAGAAAGGAAACACAAGTACGGGGAATGGTAGCAGGCTTCCCACTGAGCAGGGAGCCCAATGTGGGACTGGATCCCAGGACCCCAGGATCATGACCTGAGGCAGACACTTAATGACTAAGTCACCCAGGCGCCCGAAAAGTCAAATAGCCTTATATCAAATATATGCAAAGCTATTTTTAAAGCTATAAACATATTATTATTTTTATTGTTGATACTGTTTTAACATTTCTTCTTACCTTAAATTTTTATGTTCTTGACAAGAGCTCAGATGGTCTTTAAGTCTTGAGTGCAACTTGAGAAAGGCTAATAGCTAATGCTGAAAAAAAAAAAAAGAAAACAAAACCACTATCTTTTGAACAATATTATTAACACATTTGAAATTAATTTTTCAGTCAAAAAATAATGCTTGCAAGTCTACATTACTGGAAAATATTGAATACTTCTTTGAGATTGCAAGGACTTTGTATTTAGCACTATAGAACAAGCTCTATTTTCCCAACACCAAAAAGCTAACCTAGGGTTGCCTGGGTGGCTCAGTCAGTTAAGTGTCTGACTCTTGATCTCAGCTCAGGTCTTGATCTCAGGGTCCTGAATTCAAGCCCTGCATTGGGCTACACAGTGGTGTGGAGCCTACTTAACCAAAGGGGGAAAAAAAAAGAAAGATAACCTATTAGCATTTGCTACTGCAAATACTTGTCACAAAAACAAAACAATGGAAGTTTAATTTATTGATTTTGTAAAGGTGAGTTCCTAGGATATCAAAAGAATTTTTTTCTAAGTATAAACATAGCAGCTTCATTGTAGAAAATTTGGAAACTGCATGTAAATATAAAGAAGAAAATTATTAGAACTCATAATCACATTACTCAAAGGTAGTCACTGTTAACATTTTTGTATAGTTTTTCCAATTCTCTCCCTCTTTTTGGCTTTTCCCCCCATATTTTCAATATAAGCAGTACTATAGCATTAAATAATCTTTCAAAACATGATTTTATTATAGTCTAAAATTGGTTTTTTGTATGTAAAATTTAAGTTATTTTTTAGATCTAAAATCTAAAAAACCTTTTTTAAAAAAATCTGAATCTGTTTCAAAGGTAAATCTTTTTTTCTCCAAGTATTTTCCTAAGGACCTAGGTTCAAAACCTTGCATTACTCTGAACTCCTTTGCTTTTTTCCTTGTGGGAAGTCATCTGAAATGACTTGATTCTGAATCAAATCTGAATTCTATCAATGAATCCTAAAAATTCTTTCCTTTCTATCCGACTATCTTGGGCCTAGGCCAGGCTCTTGTTTCTCCTCTGCTCTTGACTCTTGAAGTAGTTTTCTTACTGGTCTCCTTCTTTCTAGTCTTTTTTCTCTATGATTCATTTTCAAATCTCTTTAATGCATCATTACACTGCTTAAAAAGATTGACTGTTTCTATACTCTATAGCAGAAGTTGCAAAGTGGAGCTCCAAGGCTGGATATAATCAAAATATATTTGTGTTATTTCTTCACTGTGTTTTGAACATTTTTTTTTAATTAGTTGGAATCCTTTAGGTTGGTCATATGCTTCACTGATTTATGTTACTTGCCTGGCTTCTAGGTTCTCAAGGAAAGCTGAGCCAATTTTGCATTGTATAACTCCAGGGGGCACTGAGTACATAGCACCCCCTGCAGTTGTGCAGTGCACAACTCTACCCCGTGGAATCACAGCTCTACCCCGTGGCCTGGTTGAAACCTCTGGGTGATTTACGCTCTACACTCTAGTCTACACAATATGGCAAAGAAAACTGATGTCTTGTCCAACCCTGTCCACAACAATGACTAATCAAGCCCATCCTATACCAAAGCCTAGAAAAGGCTGATATTTCTAAAAACATTGCACTCTGAGTCTTAAAAAATAGGAATATTCTAAAAAGCCTTGAATTCTAAGATAAGCCATAAAGTTGTGTTTTATTCCAAAGACAGAAACATTTTGTTTTTCTTTTTTATCAAAATGGACCCAAAAGTTATCCAACCAGAATTACTGACTACCATAGAACAAACTGAGTTATCGCCTGACCTTGTGGTTTTTTATTCAAAGGCTTCTATTTTCTTGATTAGGTGAGCCAGTTCTGCACTAACTTGTCTCCTTTGCAAATTCAAGTTAAGACTCTACTCAGTTCTTGAATTTGTGTCTGAGATTTGCAGAATAAAGTTTCTTTAATCCTAATTCTAAACTCTTTACAGTGTGGATACTACATCCCCGAAGTTTTCTCTTTTGCATAAAAATTCAAACAGACTAATTAACAAACTGACTAATTTCCCCCTTAGCATAAACTTCACAGTGCTTTTGTTGCTTTTTTTCCTTCCCCTGATCCTTCATTCTCCTTTTCCTCTCCTCTAATCTATGTCACTTCTGTTCAAGGCCATTTTTTTTTTTTTTTTTTTAATTTGACAGGGATCACAAGCAGGCAGAGAGGCAGGCAGAGAGAGGAAGGGAAGCAGGCTCCTGGCTGAGCAGAGAGCCAGATGCGGGGCTCAATCCCAGGACCCCGGGATCATGACCTGAGCTGAAGGCAGAGGCTTAACCCACTGAGCCACCCAGGCACCCCTGTTCAAGGCCATTTTAATCCCACTGCCCTTGCAAAGCAGACTTGCCACCCTAGTTTCCATCTGTTTTTCTCAGAACTCTTTCTGCCCTTATTGTTTACCTTTTCATTTCTTTGACACTATGTGAATCCCTTTGTATGTGCATTTTTATAAATTTGTTTTTATCTTTTTTTCATATTATAAAAGTAAAACTTGTTCAATTTAAAATACGGAAAACATAAAGAAGTAAAATGAAATGAAACATTTGTCATAAAACAATAAATACAAAAGGGAAAAAAAACCCAAGTTGAGTATTCGTATAATCTTGGGATAGGGAAGGACCGTCTAGTCTGGTGCCAAAAATATAAACTTTGAATTTAGAAACAATAATTTGCTTTATAAAAGTGTTACCTTTCTACATGATATTTGTTCCATGAAGTAAAATGTCAAGTTTCTTTTTTGTTAGGTGAGTTTTGATTTCAGAGGAGACTCCTCTCCTTGAACAGATCTCCTTGACCTCCTTGAACAGAGGAAAAAATGGACAGCCTCTCCAGACCTTGATTCATAGAAGCACATATCTCATAAAGCATTTGTTCTGTTGTCCAGATAGAGAAAAATGTGTAGAACGTTGACACTTAACAATAGAAACTGTTCTTATCACCTAAGCCTTTGGTTCTAGACAGAGTTCAAACAGTTCCAGCAAGAAAATAACAGAAAATTTGTGATTTCTGGGAACAAAATTACTAAACAGCAAATGGAAGTTAATCACTATTCTTTCAGTCTTAGAGCTATAGAAGTTATTGGACTAGTCATTAATACTTTTGACATCTGAAGAAATCTACCTTATTTTCCAAAAGCCAAAAGGAGGAGTTATTTTTCCCCCAAGGAAAATATAGTAAAATCTCTAAGTAATGAATAACAAATAAAACACCTTTAAACTACCATGAGTTGCTGGTCTGGGTTCCAGTCTTCTGAGTGGGTGAGGTCTGAGTACAGCTTGGGAAGTTCCCTGTCTCCGTAATCTCTATGTATGCTCTCTATCCCTCGCCTCAGATGACTTTTGGGGTTTTCATCTTTTTTTTTTTCTTTTCAGTATTCCAGAATTCATTGTTTATGCACCACACCCAGTGCTCCATGTGCCCTCCATAATAACCACCATCAGGCTCACCCAACCCCCCACCCCCTTCCCTCCAAAACCCTCAGTTTGTTTCTCTGAGTCCACAGTCATGGTTTGTCTCCCCCTACAATTTCCCACAACTCACTTCTCTCCATGTCCCCATGTCCTCCATGTTATTCCTTATGCTCCAGAAGTAAGCCAAACCATATGATAATTGACTATATTGACTAATATATTAATATATTAATATTATAGTATAATATAGTATAATAGACTGCTTGACATATTTCACTTAGCATAATCTCTTCCAGTCCTGTCCATGTTGCGACAAAAGTTGGGTATTCATCCTTTCAGATGGAGGCATAAGAGTTCGTAGTATATATGGACCATATCTTCTTTATCCATTTGTCTGTTGAAGGGCATCTTGATTATTTCCACAGTTTGGCAACTGTGGCCATTGCTGCTATGAACATTGGGGAATAGAGGGCCCTTCTTTTCACTACATCTATATCTTTGGGGTAAATATCCAGTAGAGCAATTGCAGGGTCATAGGGAAGCTCTATTTTTAATTTCCTTAAGGAATCTCCACACTTTTTTCAAAGTGGTTGCACAATTTGCATTCCCACCAACAGTGCAAGAGGGTTCTCCTTTCTCCACATCCTCTCCAGCACATGTTGTTTATGGTCTGGTTAATTTTGGTCATTCTAACTGGTGTAAGGTGGTATCTCAATGTGGTTTTGATTTGAATCTCCCTGCTAGCTAATGATGATGAACATTTTTTCATGTGTCTGTTAATCATTTGTAAGTCTTCTTTGGAGAAGTGTCTTCTGCCCTTTTTTGACATGATTATCTGTTTTGTGTGTTGAGTTTGAGGAGTTCTTTAAAGATCTTGGATATCAGCCCTTTGTCTGTACTGTCATTTGCAAATATCTTCTCCCACTCCGTGGGTTGTCTCTTTGTTTTGTTGACTGTTTCCTTTGCTGTGCAGAAGATTTTGATCTTGATGAAGTCCCAAAAGTTCATTTTCGCTTTTGTTTCCTTTGCCTTTGGAGACATATCTTGAAAGAAGTTGCTGTGGCCAATGTCGAAGAGGTTACTGCCTATGTTAACCTCTAGGATTCTGATGGATTCCTGCCTCACATTGAGGTCTTTTATTCATTTCAAGTTTATCTTTGTGTATGGTGTAAGAGAATGGTTGAGTTTCATTCTTCTACACGTAGCTGTCCAATTTTCCCAGCACCATTTATTGAAGAGACTCTCTTTTTTCCACTGTATATTTTTTCCTGCTTTGTCAAAGATTATTTGACCATAAAATTGAGGGTCCATATCTGGACTCTCTACTCTGTTCCAGTGGTCTATGTATCTGTCAGCAGTGCCATGCTGTCAGTGATCGCAGCTTTTTAGTAAAGCTTGAAATCAGGCAATGTGATGCCCCCAATTTTGTTTTTCTTTTTCAACATTTCCTTAGCAATTCAGGGTCTCTTCTGGTTCCATACAAATTTTAGGATTGTTTGTTCCAGCTCTTTGAAAAATGCCACTGGTATTTTGATCGGGATGGCATTGAAAGTATAGATTGCTCTAGGCAGTATAGACATTTTAACAATGTTTATTTTTCCCATCCATGAGCATGGAATGGTCTATCTTTTTGTGTCTTCTTCAATTTCTTTCATGAGCATTCTGTAGCTCCTCAAGTACGGATCCATGACCAGGTGGGATTTATCCATAGGATGCAGGGCTGGTTCAACATTCACAAATCAATCAATGTGATAGAACAAATCAATAAGAGAAGGGAGAAGAACCACATGGTCCTCTCAATTGATGCAGAAAAAGCATTTGACAAGATACAGCATCTGTTCCTGATTAAAACGATTCAAAGTATAGGGATAGAGGGAATATTCCTCAACTTCATAAAATCTATGAAAAACCCACAGAGAATATCATCCTCAATGGGGAAAAGATGGCAGCCTTCTCTTTGAGATCAGAAACATGACAAGGATGCCCACTCTCACCACTCTTGTTCAACATAGTACTAGAAGTCCTAACAACAGCAATCAGCCAAGAAAAAGAAATAAAAGGTATTCAAATTGGCAATGAAGAAGTCAAAGTCTCTCTCTTCGCAGATGACATGATACTTTACATGGAAAACCCAAAAAGATTCCACCCCCAAACTACTAGAATTCATACAGCAATTCAGTAATGTGGCAGGATACAAAATCAATGCACAGAAATCAGTTGCTTTCTTATACACTAACAATGAAAATACAGAAAGGGAAATTAGGGAATCGATTCCATTTACTATAGCACCAAGGGAATTGATTCCATTTACTATAGCACCAAGTACCATGAGATACCCGGGAATAAACCTAACCAAAGAGGTAAGGATCTGTACTCGAGGAACTATAGAACATTCATCTTTTATTATAAACAATTGATTTTTCCCCCTCAAATGTATGGAAAGTATAAATCAAATCTTCTTTAGTAAATTGTGTTTTATTTATTTATTATTTAGTAAATTGTGTTTTATTTATGTAAATGATTACATATTGATCTAAAATAAATATGTAATCTAAGTAGTAAATGGTGAACTTATTATGAAATACAAGAAATCCTTGAGACAGTCCCTTAGCTGTTCCTTGCAGATTCAGTACATTGGGGTTTAGAGATGGCAACTTGGTTGGGTTGAGAAGGATGGCGAATGGTATGGTGTCACAGGGATTAGTGTTGGACTAGTTCTTTTTTTTTTTTTTTAAGATTGTATTTATTTATTTGACAGACAGAGATCACAAGTAGGCTAGAGAGAGAGGGGGAAGCAGGCTCCCTGCTGAGCAGAGAGCCCAATGCGGGGCTTGATCCCAGGACCCGAGATCATGACCTGAGCCAAAGGCAGAGGCTTAACCCACTGAGCCACCCAGGCACCCAGTGTTGGACTAGTTCTTTGAGAAAAAGTAATTTTCCACGTCAAAGGATATATGTGGGAATTTATTTAAAGTATCAAGGCACTAATGTATCAAATTTATTTAAAGTATCAAAGCACTAAACCAAGCCTCTTTTTGTTACTGACCCCTTTCCAAATGAATTGTGAGCCCTAAGCCCAACCTTATAAAAAAAATTCTGGAGATGGCAGTGCCTTAAATCTTTCTGGCAAATATGTGTTCACCCTCATTTCCATCCTAGAAGGAAGAGGTAAAGTAAAAGGTAAGAAGGCAGAGGTAAGTAAAGAAAGAAAATAATAATAATAACATTTATTAAGCACTTAATATGTGTCTGACACTATTTTGCCTGCTTTATATTTAATAATATATTTACTCTTCTCACAAGAGTGAGAAGGTATGTGCTGTATATCCCCTTATTTTGCAGATGAGGAAATTGAGCTTTGGAGAGGTTAATTTATGTGGCAGTCCTTGAAGTTCCAAGAGTTTTCCATATGCCCCCTGTATGTCTGCTTTGCCTGAATTGTTCCTCCCATTCCTTCTTGCACAGGATTTTAATCCTGATCTGTGTCTCCCATCCACTTTGATAAATTCAAATTGCCCAAATGATGGCTGCTAATGTGCAATAGCAATTTCTTCCTCTTCTGAGATGCTTTTCTAACCAGCTATTCCCAAAACTAGCTGAGTTTTGACTGACATTCTCCTCTCTGACTCCAGCCAAATTCTGTAAAATTCTTGTCCCTTCCTTCCTGAAGACAAACTGTTTTCTAATTCTTTCAGGAGCCTTCTCAAGACCAACATTTTATTTTATTTTATTTTATTATTTTACTTAATTTTTTAATTTATATTTTAGTTAGTTAACATACAGTGCACATTGGTTTCTGGAGTAGAAGTCAGTGATTCATCACTTACATACAAAACACCCAGAGATTATCACAAAAAGTGCCCTCCTTAATACCCTTTACGCATCTATCCCTTCTCCCCTCCCACCTTCCTCCACTAACCCTCAGTTTGTTATCTATTAAGAGGCTCTATGGTTTATTTCCCTCTCTCCCTCCCTACCCCTTTCTCATATGTTCATCTATTTTTCTTTCTTAAATTTCACATGATGAGATCATATATGGAGTCTTTCTCTGACTTATTTCATTTAGTGTGATACACTCTAGCCTCATCCATATCATTGTAAATGGCAAAATTTCATTCTTTTTGATGATATATATATATATATATATATATATCTCACATCTTCTTTATCCATTATATCTTCTTTATCCATTCATCAGTCATCAGTCAATGGACATTTAGGCTCTCTCCATAGTTTGGCTATTATTGATGAAGCTGTTATAAACACTGGGGTATATGTACCCCTTTGGATCTGTATTTTTGTATCCTTTGGGTAAATACCCAGTAGTGCAATTGCTGGGTTGTGGGATAGCTCTATTTTTAACTTTCTG